TTGCCGATGGGTAGTTTCGACCCTGGCCTTTTTGGTTTTCCTCCTCCACTGTGCCTCGTCGTCCTGTGGACTCCGTCACGGCTTGAAATCACAGTTCCTCGCACTTCGTGATATCAAACGAGGGGGTTCTTAGCAGGAGAGTTGAAACGTTGGCTGAAAAATTGCAGACTCACGCGAGAACACCCGTACGGAAATTATCATGCGATCGGAAGCACGATCCGAATCTTGCATAAGAGATATTACACCAGAGCATTATTATCTCCGGCATTTCTTTTCGTTGCGCTCTCTGACAATGAAAAGTTTAATTTAAACATCAAGCCAATTGAATTTATCTCGATATATCGATGTTATTTTCAACGTACTACTTAAACATATCTGTATAAAAATTATTAAAAAATTGAATAGAAACGACACTTCTGATCCCTCTAGCCCGTTAATGTATTGATCATAAATTGCTATACAAAATGCAATTCTTCCTTGAATTGCTGGCGCACTATCATTTTATTATTTATTTAATTATTTATGCAATTTATTTTTACATTCATATTAACTGTTATTATTTTATGCTGCTTTCCGAGTTGAACACTCAATATAGGTAGAGGACGTGATTGAATAGCTAATAATAATGTGATGGATGTAAAATATGTGAGGCATCGGCGGGAGCACTTCGAGAACAAATCGCCACAATCCGTTAAGAGCACCGCTATCTCGAGGTGGCAAGGAGCGCGCCGGCCGCGCAACAGGTCGCCCCGCCTGCGAAAGCTCCGTGCACAGCAGGCCTCCCAGCATCCCCGGCGGCCGGGCGCGCCGCAGATCCGCCCGCCGCGCCGCCGCCACGCCGCCGCCGCGGCGTCCAGCCCTCAGCCCCCAGCCCGCCACTCGGCCACAGGCACCACGAGGGCGGGCACGCGGCCCGCCACCTGCACTCTGCTCTCCCTGCATACGCGACCGCCTTCGCCGTCGGACCCCGCGCGGCGGCGCGTGTTTTTATGCGCCGTGGGGGGGTTGAGCGGGAAGGCTGGCGGGATATCGATGAGCGGTCCGCGCTAAAAGATATTTGTTGGGTTTTTGTACCTCGGGGTTTTCGGTTTGCGTATAAACGTCACACATTCTCACATGTTCAGCTCCCCCACCGGGGGAGGGATAGAGGCTTATATGTTTCCCGGAGACAAAACGTGGGGGGCTTCGAGTACCGTCTAACGCATGGGTGTTTTCACCTCGTGGTTGAAAACCACTGCTTATAACACCACGTATTTGCAACTTGAAATCGTCATCCCATAACCAGACACCTCCAATCATTCATTTTTCATAATCACGAAGCTTTCTCAATGTTATGGTCATCCAGTGAAAGCTATTTGTAAAGTAATTGCCTGGGATAACTTACTTAGAAAAGCGTTGGTGAAGGCGTATTTTCCTTTAACCAACTCTCGCCAATCTTGTGTGCTACTCATCATCACATTCTTACACAAACGTTCATATTGTATATTATCAACTGTCCAGGTTCTTGCTGGTGTATGAATACCGATTTGTCGTGAATAGATGGAAAAACAGAAATTGAAAGAATGGTAGTCCATCCTGGTCCCCGCGGTAGATCCAGAGATAATGGCCAACCACTTAAAAGCTATAATTATTAACAACAGACAACAACATAACACAATAATAATATAATAATAATAATAATAATAATATAATAATCAAATAATAATAATAATAACAGTCTAGAATTATTATGAGGACGTGTATATCAAGACACTTGGCCATTAGTATTCGTTACACATTTGGGCTTTCGCAGAATGGTTTCTTCTTCTCTGGAATATTCTACTATTGGTCTCACTATAATAATTTATATGATCCTGTATTTCATGCACAGAAATATTGAAATGTTTAAGTTAAATGCACGAGTGTGAAAGAAAAGTCTTCCAGCTGTTTTAAGAAGCTTTTTACTAACTGTAGCAATTATTTACTTCTAACAATTAGTTTATCTCTAAAATATAGTTTATCTCTACATATGATTGGTTGTTTTTTCCGACCGCTTCAGCAAAGAAAAGAATGTAACATTATGTAGGGGATTAGTGCAAATATGTTATAGAAGTGACTGTCACATTATCTTCAAAAACTCCTTTTGTTCCCGCCTATCAATGATCTGAAGACACGGCTAAGAAGACCAAACTGTTGTCCTGGAAAGGGAATGAGAGAGGCCCGTATCTGTGTTTTTTGGGGGGAGGGGCTACAACTACGTAACTCTCTCATGGTTTTACCGAGATTGCTTCTGAACAAAGTTTAACTTCATGAGTGTCCGGAGAATCCTCAAACCCAGCTCACAAGCTAGTTGAGAAAACAGGACATTAAATTTTGTCCCTAAATAACCTCTTTCCTCCACCTGCAGCATTCGGACTTCGTAAATAGCCCATTTCTAAAATTAGTGTTTTAAGTTTTCTAGAACGCTTTTACAAACAGGCAAAATAATCGCTTGAACACATTGAGTAATAATGTAGAGAAGGGTTGTCAATCACTAAATGAGATCGTTATGACTAAAAATTAGACAATAACGTTAAAAAAAATTAGTCTATTATTACCCTTGGAGATGAAGAAGCGATTAAAGAAAAACGTATACACATTTGTTGATTCATGCTTAATTGTTTTAAAAGAATCAAAATATATAGAACATTCATCATAATTATATTATCTGTTTCTATATTACACCGAAAAATGGTTGTCAAATCTTTCCAAACTCGTATAGTTTGCGTTATTGCTCCATTATATCTAGGGAGAGAAATACGGATTAGTTAGTAAAGTAAAAGTATTAGGCTCTTGATAGAAAAAGAGTTTAACACACTTTCTAATTTTTAAAAATCTAAAACATTTTGAATTTTTTCAATAAGATGAATGACAGACTTGCTCGTCGAATGAGGAAATCCGTATTCTTACACCACTCCCTGCGGAACTAGATAGGCTATTAAAGTTTGACCATATATACGCTTAAATTCACCGTTTACGTACCAATAGCCGCTACGAGCTGGAAAACAACATTTGACCCCTGCTCCCATTTCCTCCATCGGGATGCGCCGCCATGCCGGCGAACTTCCTCCGCGTAAACATTTAGACCCGCGCGCTCTCTTCGTGTGAGCGCCGCGGCGTTCCGAAACACGCGTGATCTCACCCCCTCGCTTTTATGACGATGGGCAGCAGCGCGGGCGGGAGAGTAGACGGTGGGTTGTGCTGGCGGCGGCCGGCGCGGCGGTGCACGTGGCAGTAACGGCTGGCGGAGACGTGAGGCGGAGGTGGGACGGAGACTAAGGCGGAAGTGGAGGCGAAGATGGAGGCGGAGGCAGAAGACGGGATGGAAGGGGAGCACGTGAGGTGGAAGTGGACGTTGTGGGCGGTGACAAAGGATGTGAGGTTGGAGGCGCAAGGCGAAGGCTGAGGCTGAGGCTGATGGCTAGAGGCTGAGGTTTGAGGTTGAGGTGAGGTTGATGTTGAGGTTGGAAAGGTTTGAGCGAGGCTGAGGCTGGAGGCGGAGGCCGAGCTGAAGACTAAGGCTGGAGACAAGCGACAACAGACGTGACAGAGTGACGGCAGTGGCGTGAAGGCTGAGGCTGAGGGGGAAGCGGAGGCGGAAGGAGGAGGCGGAGGCGGAGGCGGAGGGGAGGAGAGAGGAGGAGGAGGAGGAGGAGGAGGAGGAGGAAGGAGAATAGGTTTAAGAGGTGCAGGAAGCGGAGGCGGAAGGCGAGTTGGAGGCGGGGCGAGGTTGGAAGCGGAGGCGGAGTTTAGAGGCGGAAGCGGGTTAGAGCGAAGGCGGAGGCGAGTTTGGGGAGTTGGGCAGAGTCGACGGAGCGAGCGGAGCAAGGCCGGAGACGGAGGGCGGAGCGGAGCGAGGCGGAC